ACACACACACACCTCCAGCTGCCTCAGTAAGGTGAAGTACGACATCAATAACACTGCAGAGGCAGGGGGCACACCAGGTGAGCTGGAAGGTGCTGAGGGTGAATTCTAATGGCAGCTACAGGCACAGCTGCAGGCACAGCAGTGTAGAAACCTTCAAAAAGGAAACTCTACCTTTATGTCCCTTTTTTTCTAAACTTCTTAACCTTCAAACAGTAAATAAGGCTCTTCGCGTGTCTTTTGCCCAAACCACCGCTGCATGATTAATCACACACCAACACATATGTTACTCATCTTGTCACTGTGGACTTCAAACACGTCCTCATCCTACATTTCCTGTGCTTTTCATCATTTTTTCATTTTCCATTACAGCACCTTACTGCCCCCACCACTGCCCAAACTCCTGCTTACACCAGCCGCAGTGCCAACCTCCAGCAGAGCCCTCTGTGAGGACCTGATCCAGCTGTGGTTCAAGTGAGCAGTCTGTTGGTCGATTTTAATCACAAGTCGATAGCCTAATGTACTAAAGTTCATAGCTGGCTTTAGAGTGCATGTCCACAAGTGATCTGATCTTGTTCCCCTGCTCTAAATAAGCACATATTTTGCGTTTGCAAAGCCACATTGCGATGTTGTGTTTTAAACAGCAGGGAAAAGTAACGCACTTCCTGAGCCTAGTCTTCTGGAAATGAAATAGAGGAAATAAAAACAATACAGATTGGGACTTAGCAGGTTCCAGATAAACCAAATTGTTGTTTGACGTTTGAGAACATTTTAGAGAAACTCAATGTCATTGTATAAGTTTACTCTGGACTCACTTACTACTATTATATGGATCACATCATGACATTGAGATTTGACTTTGTTTTATGGTAAATATCACAACTATTGAATGGGTAGTAGGAAATTGCCTGAATGTCTTAGGTGTTCCCCTGACTCGCACCACCATGAGTTTTTTCAGCAAAATGTCTCATGGATGTACTGGTGTGAAATTTGGTACAGAACTAAAATTAATTATTGATCCCTTAGCTTTTAATTTAGAGCCAACAGCTTTCAAAACTTTAGATTTGGATCAAATATCTGCCAAACACTAACGTTCCCATCAGCCTTAGCTCAATTTTATTTGAAAGCAAAACAGTAGCAGCCTCACTGGGCTGCTTGCGAGGCTGCAAACTCTTTTGTGTCCATGAATAAAAAGCACTGCAGCCAAAATGCTTCAGTGCACTACGAACTCCCCAAACCCAATGACAGGACTTAGATGAGAGTGAGCATGTATGATATTACGATACATGTCCATTGTCTCCATCTCCTGCCTGTCTTTAACTGAATCCTCACTGACTGACATGGTTATGACATTGTGTTAACACAGATCACTATTGAGAATATATTTTTAAACACTTTTTTTTTTCTTTTTTTTTTTCAAAGGGATTTTGTATGTTCCCGGTATGATGCATATTTACCTTCCATCCCCGGACAGCATTTCTGCAAACAGCTCAACCCAAAATTTCCTCCTCAGCCTGTACATCTCCTCCTCCTGTGTCACTCTGATGTACAGTCAGACACAAGGCTTTATGGCAGATTCATAGCATGATAATAGAAACCTGTGTCTGATAACTATTATACAATGCTACCATTACCAGGACCAGGCCTCTTATAGGACACCAAATAGCAGCAAATTGTAGTCATTACTCGGCCTGGACAAATAACCTGCTAGTAATACAGCATCTGACAGAGGGAGGTGAAAAAAGAAAAAAAAAACATGTCACACTGAAGCACAATAGCCAGGGAGAGAAGTTTATTCAATGGGTTTTGTGATTGTGGGGCGGATGATGTATTCCAAGAGAGCAGTTCAATTATTGAGTTTTAGAAAACAGATAATGGGATGGGAAACGAGAGATGCTCAGCCAAAGACTCTTTGTCTTATACTGTGAGTGTGTGTGTATGTGTGTATGCGTGTGTGTGAGACAGTAAGTGAGAATCACCTAGTTATATTAAATATGGCATTTTCATCCCTGGCCTATTTGCTGCTGCAGAGGGAAACATATGCATCTGTGGATTTTGGATGAAGGAAGAGGAGAAGAGAAGAGAAGAAAAAGGAGAAGAGGTCGAAAAAATGAGATCACATAGGAAAACTGTCCATTCTAAACATGAATGTTGCTCTTCAAACTAATAATGGACAATGTGTATCGACTGAAAAATCCTTCCAGCTGGATTCAGGTGCTTTTTCTTCTCTGTTCGAGTTTCCAGAGTGAAGGAAAGAATGAGAGCAGAGGAGACGATGGGGGTGGATGTTCATGTGTTTTGTTATTACAAATAAATAAGAGCCACAAAAGA